ACTACGTGGACTTTGATCCCGACTACTCGGGTGCGTAGGCAACCAATAGGTTTGAATCCAACCAATATAAAACTTTCATTTTCCGTGATGTACGTCAATAGACGTCAAATCTTATCTTATACCCATATGTTACGAAATAAATTTTAACCCTAGTCCAATTGGACTCTAAAAATACGTAATTACCAATTTAAACACCCAACCCTTTGAAAGCTTATCGACTTAAGTGGTACCAGTTTTTGGGCATTGTGGAATGTGAATACTCTTCCCCACACGTAACCGTACTCCCGAACCTAAACTTCAATTCGCGACTATGTTATGGTTTTGATCCTAAGGTTTCGACCAGACTAAAATAGTGTTCGATCCACTACAAGTAAGATTGATGGCGACTCCGAGCATTGCGCGACGGGTCCTCCAATTTCTAGGGGAGATTGTGACATGTTGTAAACAAGCTATGCTTAAACCACACATTGAGGTGCATTAAAGAAGAAAGTGGTGTTGGGCACTGCCTTCACCATTATTGTTGATGGTTCTAGCAAAGTGGTAATGAACCTTACATCTGGAAAGTCGTCTTGCATGCTCCAGAGAGAAGGAATCATTTTACAAGTTGCATGTTGTAATAATGATAGTTCTGGGACCAAGTTAAATGACGCATGAATACGTAATTAGAGAACCAGAAATTTTAGATTTATCCTGATATGGGTAAATGTGTTAAGATGTTAATTTGGATTGAAAAGAAATGTTTTATCAATTGCTCTGATTAATTCTTTGATGTGATGCTCTTGAAATGCTTGAGAATCAGAGTAATATGATTGCTAGAAGAGCATATGAGTGTCTTACTTGGATATGTTGTAGTAAAACACAAACTTATTAAATGAAATGCTCATTGTGTTGTAGAATTCATTAATGCCAATCAAGGTTCAAGAAAGCGTTATGCGTAAGGTTAGCGATGAGGCTCTGCCTTGCTGCTAGCACGCGTAGGCGTGCCTAAGCGTTAGTGGTAAACATAGCAAAGTATCTAACATTTGTCTAGAATCACAAGTTTATGCACCATTATCATTGCATCTAGCTTCCCAAGGTCATATAACCTCTTCTTTAGTTACATAGTTTATCGATAATCGGTTCCCTTTGTCGACGTATGTAAACGACTATGCCTCCTCTCTATCTTGACCTATTGACGTCTTGAAATACTATCAGGTTTTATATGACCTACTTATTCCCTCATTTGCTTAATTCATGCACTCCTAGTGTTGCTTAAAGTCTAAACTCCTAGTGTCTAGAATCACAAGTTTATGCACCATTATCATTGCATCTAGCTTCCCAAGGTCATATAACCTCTTCTTTAGTTACATAGTTTATCGATAATCGGTTCCCTTTGTCGACGTATGTAAACGACTATGCCTCCTCTCTATCTTGACCTATTGACGTCTTGAAATACTATCAGGTTTTATATGACCTACTTATTCCCTCATTTGCTTAATTCATGCACTCCTAGTGTTGCTTAAAGTCTAAACTCTCCACTGCTCTTTGTCACTGTGTCATAGTAGTGTCAGCCATTTAAAACCACTTGAGTGGCTTCTCGTGATGCCTTTTCATTTATATACTTGTTTGCCTCCTTGCCATTACTTAGGATCAAGGACGCTGAAATTCTCGCATTATCATTGATATTGACGTCTACTCATTGTAGCCCTTTCTTCGGAGATTCTTATCTCTCCCTTTTGTTTTTTCTTAGCTTATTAGATCCTCCACTTCCTAGTAGTAAATTCCTCGTACTACTCCCTCAACTCCTTCAAAATCCTCGAGGTATTCCCTTACGATTGGCATCTCTTATATTAGAACTATAGTTATTTACCGTAATACGATTAGAGTAGACTGGAGATTCTATAGACTCTTAAAAGAAGATACTTGACTATTTTCGTTTCCTTTCAAACAAAAGGCTTTAAAACCGAGACTGATATTCTAGTATTCCTTGGAGACCAAGGAATAGAAAAATTGTCGACTCTGATACAAAAATGTAACACACTAACTCGACCGGGTACTACTATTACCAATGACATTGATAAAGCGTAAACTAAAATAAGAACTGAAAAGACTTGGAAAGATAACATAAACTTTATATAAATAATTTTAATAATAACAATGGTAAATGCCATTACTTAAAACAAAGCCCCCAACACTTGTGCAAATCTCAAACCATAAATCTTATTCTCAAAACTGTTAATCTCCAGTCTTACTACTAAAAGTAAAGTCAGTGGTCGTTTGGAAGTTGCGATTGTTAAATAGATGTATTGTTGAGAATGCATGTATAATATTATACATGTATTGTCGAATTTGATGCATTATAGAATACAATGTTTGGTATGTGTAATTGTGTATATCGTATCAGCTAAAAGCTGAGACAAAACAATCTCAACTCAACTATCTCAACAATCAAAACTAAAAGTTGAGATATAACAATCACTCAAAATGAGTAATAGTTTCTGTCACATCACAGAAACAATCCATGTATTGTTTCTGCTAAAAAAACAAAAACAAAAAAACGACGCATTGTAAACAATACATGCATAATGACAATCTCAACAAAACAATCGCAACTTCCAAACGGGCTCAATAACTAAAATCATACTCTTCCGTCTACTCAGATCCAATCTCTGGTACCTTTTTTATAAAAATTTATTATAAAATTATTTGGTCCTTTTGACTTTTGTCTCCTTTTTTCATAGCGGCCAGAGGTGAATTGTGGCTGCGGCGGCGGGTAATGGCAGCAACAAATGATGGCGACAAGTATTGATGGGGTGTGGAGGGTCGACAAATCCATTTTTGTTTATAAAAAATATTTTCAAACAATAAAAAGTATAAGGATAAAAAGGTAATTTTAACTTTTATGTTAGAGCGATAATAATAGAGTTAGAGCGATGAATAGTTGCAAACGAAGAAGATAAGCTATAAAAGGGATAATTTAATATGTTATTTCCAACTGGTCCAACCGTGATTCAATCGCATTTAACAGAGTTTTATAATGAAATTATAACAAAGGGCATATTTGATTATACGTATATATACTATATAATACGAGGCATGTTTGATGTGAAAATAGTAGAGTGATAGATTTGAGAAAAATAAATAATAGAGTGATAATTATTTATAAAAGGTAGAGCGATGAATAGTTGCAAACGAAGAAGATAAGCTATAAAAGGGATAATTTAATATGTTATTTCCAACTGGTCCAACCGTGATTCAATCGCATTTAACAGAGTTTTATAATGAAATTATAACAAAGGGCATATTTGATTATACGTATATATACTATATAATACGAGGCATGTTTGATGTGAAAATAGTAGAGTGATAGATTTGAGAAAAATAAATAATAGAGTGATAATTTATACTATTAACTCCATATGAAAAAACAAGATCGTATTGGTAAAGTACAATTTAGGGTTTATAATGTTTGCACTTTCTTAACTATTGTATGTGCATTAGTCTCTAACATTTATCAACTCCCACTTATTATTAAAACAAGTATATACACAAAAATTATACAATAATTTTTTTTTTCATGTTCTTTCGTATTTAAGATTTCTAGGCATAACTTTTTTGTTATTTTCTGGATTTTTTATATACCTTCAATTTCTACAAATTCTAAATTACATATATTTCCTTCCATGTTCCAACTCCGAATCCATATCCAACAATAAAAATGCAAACATTTCTTATAAGATATGAAAAAATACACACAACAATAAATTAGTACGACTTGATAAAAAAATATTAACTAATTATTATTAATATCATAATTAACAAATACCATAAAAATTACTTGAAAATCATGAATCAAATATTTTAGAAAATTCTAAATTATTTTAAAACATAAAATAAAACAAAATTTATCTGAGAAGAGGTGGGTAAAAGCCAGTAAATAATTGGCAAAAAAATCCCAAAATACACATGTTTTTAAAAACAATTCTCAAAATACACACGTTATAAAAAAATTTCCCAAAATACACATGTTTGGACATCACCGTTGTTGTCAACCGCAGTGAATGCATTCACCGCAGCAGACCAAAGCGGTGAATGCATCACCGCGGTTGACGGCCGCGGTAAATGCCTGACGTAACACTGAAACTTCAAACAAACGTAACTTTGCGCTCGGTTATCCGATTGTAGCGAATTTTTTTTATTCCACATAACTTTTCAAGATCATTCAATATGAAACAATACTTTATCCCCAAAAAAAATCATTTGCTAACCCGAAGAGCAATTTTTCGATTTTGACAAACTTTGGAAGATCATAACTTTGTGCTCCACAATCCGAATGTCATGGAACTTTTTTTTATTTTTCATAACTTTTGAAGTACTACAACTTTGATTATAACCATAATTTTGGAAAGTATGTGGATTTGTGAAAAGTAAAGGCAAAGTTATTCCCAAAATCCCGTATACCCAAAAATACTTCTTTTTTAAAAATTATTTCCTAGTCAAAGTTGTAGTTATTAAAAACTTATGCGCAATAAAAGAAACTTTACGACGTTCGGATTGAGTAGCTAAAAGTTATGTCATTCCAAAGTTTGGCAAAATCGAAAAATTGCTCGTTCGGGGTAACAAACGACATTTTTTTTAGATGAAGTCTTCTTGTAGATTGAAAGATTTTGAAAAGTTATATGGATTAAAAAAATCGCTACAATCGGATAACCGAGCGCAAAGTTACGTTTGTTTGAAGTTTCAGTGTTAAGTCGGGTATTCACCATGGCCGTCAACCGCGGTGATGTATTCACCATTTTGATCTGTCGCGGTGAATGCATTCACTGCGGTTGATAATAGCGGTGATGCCCAAACATGTATATTTTGAGAATTTTTTTATAACATGTGTATTTTGAGAATTTTTTTTTAAAACATGTGTATTTTTGGAATCCGTCCAAATAATTGAGTGTCGAACCAATTTTTCCGTGAGCTTGTTGGCCCTACTTAGAGGTTAACAAATCGGACTTCTCTTGTCTACAGGTAGCCTACTTCTTGTTAATGATTGAGCTTCATCAGATTAGGCCACGGATTCGATCATCGATGGGTGGCCAGAGAAATGGTGCCGCTAGCTCTTCCTGGCTTTCTCAGTTCTGGTTTTCAGCTCGGCGAACCAAACCCTTGAATCCTCCTCACAATACCACCGTCGCCATAAATCATCCGGACGGCCTTACCCGTCGCCTCGGCCTCTTCGATCTCATCCTCATCGGTGTCGGCGCTTCGATTGGTGCCGGAATCTTTGTAGTCACCGGAACCGTCGCCCGTGACGCCGGACCTGGTCTCTTTCTACTGTTCGCTCACACATTGGTCACACTTCCGTTCGTCTGTTCTTGAACCTACACCCTTTCTCTTTCGCACTGGTTATGGCCGATACAGTTGTGATTGTCATTATGCTGGAGTATTATGATAGTAGTGATATCCACCAGCATTCGAGTTGCTCCTTTCCCTTTCTTTTCTTTTTTCTGCGGCGCTTCTAGCTTGTTATAGCTGTTCGGGATCCCAAACAGTCATTCACATCCTTCCAAGTTTCGATGGATCAGCTAGCTTCTTCCCTTAAGAATAACGAATTTAAGGTTTAACGCTCCACTTGCTTGAATGTGAGGGGTGCTCTGTAGTCTTGAATGGCCAAAGTGCCCATCTCCTTTCATTCGACTTCGATGAAATTCCTGAAAGAGGAAGAAGTGACAAGGCATTTTTACTTAGCTCTCTAGATTCTTGTGTGCACAAATGACTGCTAATGGCTTAATATTTGCATCCCCTATATGTTGCAGGAGTTACAATCAGCTTCATACTGGCTGGGCTCTCATGTATATTGAATGCACTATGTTATGCCGAGTTGGCTTCTCGGTTCCCTGCTGTTGTTGGAGGAGCATACTTATACACTTATTCAGCTTTCAATGAAATCACTGCTTTCCTTGTTTTCGCACAACTGATGCTCGATTACCACATTGGGGCGGCTAGTATAGCACGGAGCTTAGCAAGTTATGTAGCTACCCTGTTGGAGCTCTCTCCTGTTTTCAGAGGTCTCCCAAGTTGGTTCGGAACTGGTGAAGAGTTTTTTGGAGGAACTGTGTCAGTCAATGTATTGGCTCCAGTTCTGCTTGCTCTTCTCAGCGTTATCTTATGTCGCGGAGTTGGAGAATCTTCCGTTTTGAACTCAGTCATGACTATTACAAAGGTACCTCTACCTATCCTTCACTGAGTAAAAAGTTATGGCCATATTATTTTATGCAATGCTTATTTAAACATCCTTGTCCTTGTCAATTCTTTTCAATGTCGTCTCCCCTGCTCAAGTTTCTGATTTCCAAAGATGAATAACATTTAGTGTCACTGTGATTGCAGATTGTCATTGTCATCATTGTTATCTTTGTTGGTGCTTTTGAGGTCGACGTAGCGAACTGGACACCTTTTGCTCCAAATGGGATTAAGGCCATATTCACTGGCGCAACTGTGGTATTCTTTGCTTATGTTGGGTTTGATGCAGTTGCAAATTCTGCAGAAGAATCAAAGAGGCCACAGGTCTGCCTTAATTTATTCCACCTCATGAATTCGGTTTCCTGACGAACTATGGTTGAATCGATATCACTTCTTCTTGAGCATCTCCTTCTATTTTGTTTCATCTTTGATATATTTCAGAGGGACTTGCCACTGGGGATCATTGGCAGCCTTTTCATTTGTATTGTTTTGTACATTGGAGTCTGTTTAGTGATCACTGGTATGGTACCTTATAATCTCATTGGTGAAGATGCTCCCCTCGCTGAAGCTTTTAGGTCAAAAGGCTTGAAATTTGTTACTTTTCTAATAACCATTGGTGCTGTTGCTGGACTTACCACAACGCTTTTAGTCGGCCTTTATGTTCAGGTAAATCATGGACCATACTACACCTATTAGTTGTGCCATGTACTCTTGAGGTGGAAACATAATCAGGGTGAACTGTATCTTTCTGTTTGTGCAGTCTCGACTATATCTCGGTCTTGGAAGGGATGGTCTGCTGCCCGCGGTATTTGGTAAAGTGCACCCAACACGCCATACTCCTATCCATTCACAAGTCTGGGTTGGAATTGTCGCTGGTGTTTTGTCGGGGTTGTTTAATGTGTCAGTTCTTTCCCACATTCTGTCAGTTGGCTCATTGGTATGCTTTTTCAATCCTTCTTCTAGACAATTTCCAGGGTTTCAAGTCCTCTTAAAACTTTGGCTTCAATTCAAAACCCAGCATTTGCAATTGCCTGATACGTCCTGAAGTTTGACATTAGAACAGTTTGCTGGGTTTCTGAGGATTTCACTTCATAACTTGTGTGCTTATTTCCAAGACTCTTGAACTTTTATGCTTCCTGGCATTATTTTTACGTCTACTTGTCTTGCAGACTGGATACTCGGTTGTCTCTGCATGTGTCGTTACCCTTCGGTGGAACGATAGGCATGCAGATGATCGAGTTTTATCAAGGTGGACTTCACCCTGGCAGGAAGGTGTCATTTGCCTCATCGTGGTTGCCTGTTGTGGATTTGCTACCGGTGTCTCATATCGTTATGATGGCTCGTTCATTTTTATGATTGTAGCAGCTGTTATAGCTATACTCTCAATATCTGCTCTCTGCTTCCGTCAAGTGAGTTAGCATATCGCCCTCTGCTTCATTGATGGGTCGATATGGAATCTATTGATCTTTCTAAACATCCGCTGCTTCTTCATTCCTCAGAGTTACAGAGATCCTCCAGGGTTCTCTTGTCCTGGTGTTCCCATTCTGCCAGCTGTTAGCATCTTCTTCAACATCTTCTTATTTGCTCAGGTACCCCTTTGAATTAACCACATATGTATGCATCTGTCCATCACATGGATGCAGAAATGTGAATTAAGAAATTTGAGTTGTGGCTATTATTTATTATGCAGCTACATGAAGAAGCCTGGGTGAGATTTGTGGTCCTCAGCATTATCATGGTTGGAGTTTATGCATTTTACGGCCAATATAATGCGAAGCCAGGAGGTATGGATGATGAGACAATCGTTTATCATAGTGCTCCTACTGAACCAACTTTCTGAGAACTGTGGGAATCGCCAAACCGCCATCAGCATATGGATTGTCTTCTGTTGTACCCCATTTGTTGTTATCCTGTATCGTCCATGTATTCATTTCCAGCTTAAATCTTGTATGATATCATTACTTGGATAAAAATGATATGTGCTTTAGTTAGGTGTGTGTATTTAGATTCTGCGAGGATTGTCAAAACCGTTTGGCGATCAAATGGGTAAAGGCTTGTTATTACAACTCAAGGTATATAGAGTACTGACAATGTCTAAAAACAAACTATCATAACACTTTGATAACCCATATCAATTTGGTCATCGATACAATGGTTGATTGGTACTATGACCGGTGGATGAGGCTTTCTTCCTTGTGAATTCCAACTCTTTCACTCCATACATGAAGAAGTACAAATGTTGGCAAAGAAGGGAGACAGACAGGGAAAAGGCCCAAAATCGATCAGGGACAGTTCTCAATTACAGACAACGTCCGAGTAAAAGCCTATGATGGTCCTCCTGGTACAATCCTGAATACTGAGAAGCTCCACATCAAAGACCTCAAATTGCTTGGCGCTGAAAAATGTTGAAGGCCCGACCTGCTTTGGGGAAGACAGGTCCCATGAGAAAAAGAAAACAAAAGGAAAAGAAGACAAGATGCTGAAGGGTAAAGTTTGAGAAGAGAAGAAGAAACTGACCGGGGGTCCGAGTTCTGGGGGAATGATGATTCTTCTCTTCCCACCAGGTCTCATTTCCCCAATGCCTTGCTCAAATCCTGCAAGCGAAGAGTAGGTGGTTGCCAAACTCTCAGACTGAGACTAGTTCTTTAGAGCAGTAGCACCCATCAAACTTACCAGGAACCAAGGCATTAGTCCCCATCCGGATTTTGGCGGGGGAACCTTGCAAGTAGGTGCTGTCGATACGCCGCCCTGACTCATTGTATCCAATGTAATGGAAGGTCACCTGCACATTGCTAGCCTATGCTGAGAGATGGCGACCAGACACATAAGAGGAACCAATGAAAAAGCTGTTAACTTTTATGAAAAGAAACATTAATGAAAGAAAAACCTGCTGACCAGCTTTTGGGCAATCACCATGACCAACTTCAAAGTCCTTATATATGAGTCCAGAGTTGGTCTTCAAATACTTCTCAGAAGCCACTACCTTAACCTCAAACCCTGCAACCACAGCAACAACAACAACAACAACAAAATTACTGGACGGATATTAGCACGCGCAGCTTCAATGCCTGCCCTAGTACAAAGTTGAGTGGTGGCTAATGGAAAACAACAGACCTTCCCTCACAAAACTTGGGAAGTCTTCTGGAGCATTGTTTTCTCTCTGCACCCTCTTGTTCTGTTCAAGCAGCCGCCTTTCATCATATGGGTTCTTGGTTTTGGTCTTCCCCAAAGATGGGAATGTTTGGAACAACAAGAAACTCGACGCAGGGACGGAGATGAAAATGAGTAATCTACGCCTTAGTTTCTCTGATACAGGCCCACTCTGGATTCGGATTCTGCTCATTATAATGGGTCATGTTACTTAGAGTTCAACCAAAAAGCTACGCTGAGATAAAGAGTTTGGTGGGGAATCTCTTTACCCTTCATCGTTGAAATTGTGTGAACAACAACGCATCTCATGTTTCTTTGGACCTAAAGCTGGAAACCCTGAAATGGTTCCACCTGCCAACAAAGAGGAATTCAAGTATCCATTGGTGAACAGGCAATGGCTGTGCTAAGTTGCTTCTGAAGAAGTTTTCTGCAGTTAAAAGAGAGATAGAGAGAGAGGCTTACAGGAAGAAGGCGGGAGCAATCGGATTGGAATATGGGCCATTAACATGACTATTTCGTGCTAGCTATCCAAGCTGACCGCAGCAACTTAGCAGAGAGCGCCTTCTTCTTCCTCTTCTTTCCCACCCTGCTGCAATAACCTTATCTTCCATTTTTTTGGCTTCTCGGCATTGGTTCGATACAGAACTGCGGCATGTTCGCAACTCTTATTGGGCTTTTCTTTTCTTAACAACTTCATGGGCTTCTAGAACTGCACAAAGCCCTCAGCGTGGGGAAAAGTGCTTGTATAATTTCTATTTTGAATTAAAATAACTAGCTTATTACACGACACCTTGACCGGACGTAGTTTCGGAAATTGACTTTTTGATTCTAACTGATATTATCCGTTAACATATATGCGGCGATGGTTGGAGGTAGGTCAACAACATCCTAATAATATGATGTAAAGTCATTATCCCATTACATTAGAAAAGAAACAGTAAAACATAAATACTATAATGGACAATCCAAACCAAGCCATTAGCCTTAAATATAACCACTATTGCTATGCACCGTGATGCCCCTAGAGTGAACACAAAAAACCAAATGAATGCTTACCTAGCTTCAATTATTGATGGTAAAAATGGATGCCACCAAGAGATTTCATAAGAAAAACCCAATCTGGATTGCCCTTAGACCAAAAACCATAGTGACACCAAAGGTGATGAATCCCTGGATAAAAAAACTAAAAACAACAATGTCCAAAACAAGTCGATGGAAATGCGTCGGCCAGTTTTTTCTGATAAATAGTTTTGTTAATTAAAATGACAGAAAAATACAAAGCATGCAATCTACTGTATAAATCTCATATACAAACAAAAGAAATAGGCAATCTATATATGCCTGGAAGCACCAACAATAATAACTTTTGTCAATACCCCTACCACTATGAAATCCTACCAAATCACTCCTAACCACTCTACTACACTAAATACACAAATGACTTACAACTCTGTACTTTCTATCTCTTCAATCTGTATAAGTCAATCGTCATGAACCCTCATCATTATCACGATTCTTATCCTTCTCGACAACAAACACACTAATTGGTCCACTCTTACTCCTTTGTGGCAGCTACATGTCATTTTGCATCAATGCACATTAATTCAAACGCCCATTCCTTGTTGCAATTTATGGCTTGGGGTAATATCACTTCAGTCATAATACAAATTTACGTGAAATAAAAGAAATGATCATTATAATAGCCTTGTAAAATTTAGAGTACCAATAGCGATTCCTCTCTTCTCCTCGGTGGCTTCGTCAGTAAAATGAGATTGATGACTATCTCTACCAACACATTCTATATGATCATAGTAAAATGAGATTGATGACTATTTCTGCCTTACCTATTTTCGCATCGCAACTCCAAGAGCTAACTTGTTGGGGCTCTCCTCTAGGTAAACAACTTGTACCAACATCAGACATGAATTTTTTTTGATTTGATTGAGATACTATCAGGATCTTGTGATGCTCTGAAGAAGGCTAAACCGTTTCTCAGGCATTGTCAACACCCAATCAATTTGACATGGGTCATTGCTCTCTTACCATCTAAATTAAAGAGGAAGCTCATGTTAGCCTCTTTTATAGCTTAACTTGGCAATTTCTTAGAGGAGATACAATCACGATTCACAATTCAAGAACAACCACCTCATATAATACAATCTTATGTAAACAACACTAATGAAGCGCCCAAATTACAATTCTGTACATGTTTCCTATGAGGGTGTGCATGTGCAGATTAAGAAAAATATAAGGATTAAGGAGGGAGCTTACTTGGCACGCGATTTTATGAGCAAAAATCCCGTCAATAATTTCCAAGTGGAGATGTCCAATCGATCGGGTCTAGACATGCGTATATACTATATATCAACATGCTATACTACAAACACAAAGAGTTTGGTTTGTCCTTCCTATGACAACATATTCTCACAACATATTTATTCCTTGCAGAGAGAAGTATATCAAACCATCTTGTATCTGCTCCAATTATGACTATCACTCGTACTTTTTGTATTGTACAATTTGAACCACACTTTTAAATCTGAAAGCAAGTGACCACAGTCACAAAACATCATATTGTAAAAGCTTATATGCAATCATGAGGTTATTTCAATAAAAAGAAACCATGGTTCATGTGTTGAAGATCAACATTATAGATTGAATAGTTCAATTCGGCAATGATCTCAACTTTTACATATAAATTTTGTGTAAAAGTGGTATGATTGAAGTTATTCCCTATGTTAACACTAACCAGAATAGTCTTTGATTACTGGAAACTAACCACAAAATCATTTCAAATAATAAAAATGATGATACTAAAAGGAGTGTCATAACAAAAGCAACAAAAATATATCTATTTATCTTTAATCAACTCAAAAGTCAACCTAAAAGATCAACCAAATGAACTGATGTTAAGAGATCACACATTACAGTCAGAGAAACAAAATAACCCATAAGTCAGCTCTCTAAGCAAGAAAACTCAACCTTTCCATATTTGCCCCTCCGAAAATTGCTTTGAGTAAAAATATAGGTGGAGGAGGTTAGGGGTTTGTCGAGTCCAATGGAAAGGTTTGGAGAGACGACGATGGTTGAGCGTTTAATAGGTCGGGAGTCTGGGACACTATTTATCTGTAATCAACTCAAAAATCAACCTAGAGGATCAACCAAATGAACTGATGTTAAGAGATCTCACATTACTGTAAAAGAAGCTAAATAACCGACCATTCAGCTCTCCATGTAAGAACCTTTACATAATTAACCCTCCAAAAATTGCATTGCGTAACAATATAGGTGGAGGAGAATAGGTGGTTGTCAAGTCCGGTGGGAAGGTTTGGAATATATGAGCCTGTAGGGTGACGGGAGAAGGGAGAGGAACGACACACCTAGAAAGAGTTTTCCTAGGATCTGTGGATAGAAAATCCTATATGGCAATAGACCTCAATCACAGTGAAGAAAAAAGCTTTACCCAATAATACGAATATGGAAAGATCAACATGTGATAATCATGTAGATAGATAGGCTTATTCCGTGTAGCAATACTTTCTTTAAGGGGTAGAGCCTCAGAATTTCCTTGCTACCTCCGCTGGAAAGAAGGAGACCTCAAAGTGATATCGGTAGGCCGACCTTGGGATTGATACGCTTCGACTTAGCCTTGATAGAGACGGCGATAGTTGAGCGTTTAGTAGGTCGGGACACCATTTACACTCGTTTACATTTGTTGCGCATTTTCAATCCGCATTCGACAAACCAACATCACCCAACCTTTTCATAGTTAACCCTCTCTTAAACACAAATGTGCCCCATATTCACTCAAAACTTCTATATTCGAAATTATTGTTGCTTTATGGTAGTTATATTATTTAATTCTATGTCAAGAATTCTGCATCGCTTCTACACATTCAATACTGCAATTCGATGTGCAATATTTGCACCAATGATATTAGGCTTGCGATTTTAAAATTATTCTCCTTTTATATAAGATAAATAGAAATAAAATTAATTATTAAAATTGAATTAATAAAAAAAGTATGAAAATAGAAGTATCAAATACCAAAAAAATATTTAGGGGAGAGTTAGTGACTTAGCTAACTGTGATGGAAAATTCCTATGATTTTTCAGATTTAAGCTTCCTTTATGTTTTTAATTAAAAAAGTTTAAACAAATTTGTTTAGTGTAACTAGTTATGTTTCTTGCCTTTTCTCAAAGAGATCATAATTCAAATCCCTTCACTTATGTGTTTTTCCTGTAAATAAGAAAATAATAAATGATTGTGAAGAATTTTGTAATGGGGAAAGCACCTTTCCCATTACACTATTATATTATGTGTAGCAAAAGTAACCCGAGTGGTTGAGCTTTTAGCGGGTCGAGCACTATTTTGGCCCATTTACATTAGCAACGTCTTTTCCATCCGCGTTGGGTAAACCAACAACACTCAATCTTTCCATATTTACCCCTCCAAAATTTGCTTTGGCGTAACATACAGGTAGAGGAGGTTAGCCAGTTGTTGAGTCTGATGGGAAGTTTGGAGAGACGTCGATGGTTGAGCGTTTAGTGGGTTGGGGCACTATTTGGGCCTGTTTACAATAGTAGTGTCTTTTCCATCCGCGTTCGGCAAACCAACATCACTCAACCTTTCCATATTTACCCCCATTTTAAATACACATGTTCCCCATATTCACTCAAAAGTTTTGTGTTTAAAATTATCGTTACTTTATGGTAGTTATAATAATTAAGTCTATGTTAAGAATTCTACATTGCTTCTACAGATTCAAGAGTGCAATTTGATATGCAATATTTGAATCAAGGTTCAAGAAAGCACGCCTAGGCGCACGCCTAGGCTCAATTAAGCGCTAGGCAATGGAAGAACGTTTCGCTTTGGGCATAGGCTCTCAACAAAGCGCTGGGCGCGCTTAAATTTGATTAGTAGCGCCTAAGCGGTGCCGAGTGAGACTAAGCGGCCGCCTAGGCTTGCTAAGTTATTGCTAGGCGCTATCCATCTTAGCCCCTACGCTGCCGTTTCCATCTCTCGTTGCTTGCTAGGTTTAGAAAATGAGAATTAATTATTCAATTGAAAATCGATACCCACGACCACAGGAAACCAACAGCCTTCGCCGTCCCTCTTCCTCTCCCGGGCTTTAGCTGCTACTCCTTCGCCCTTCATCCCTGTTTCTCTTCTTGGCTCCAGCTGCTACTTCTTCTCCCTTCAGCCGGCTGGCGTTGATAGAGAAACTTGGAGGAGCTCGCATTTTGCTGCAGTTGGTAAGTCCTCTGCCTCTCTATCTTCTCGGTTGCTGATTCTTGCTTACTACCGTGAATTACAGATGGGAAACTGGTGGTTGAATGGGTGTGGGAGTTTTGGTAATCATCATTAGAGAGGGGAGCTACTACTTCTTTGGTCGCTGTTTTCTTCTAGTGGTTGGGGACGCAAGAGCTAAATTGGAACACTAAATATTTCCTTGATTAAAATCAAGATTCAAGAAAGCATGCCTAGGCGCACGCCTAGGCTCAATTAAGCGCTAGGCAATGGAAGAACGCTTCGTTTTGGGCATAGGTGCTCAACAAAGCGCTGGGCGCGCTTAAATTTGATTAATAGTGCCTAAGCGGTGCCGAGTGAGACTAAGCGGCCGCCTAGGCTTGCTAAGTTATTGCTAGGCGCTATCCATCTCAGCCCCTATGGTGCCGTTTCCATATCTCGTTGCTTGCTAGGTTTAGAAAATGAGAATTAATTATTCAATTGAAAATCGATACCCACGACCACAGGAAACCAACAGCCTTCGCCGTCCCTCTTCCTCTCCCGGGCTTTAGCTGCTACTCCTTCGCCCTTCATCCCTGTTTCTCTTCCTGGATCCAGCTGCTACTTCTTCTCCCTTCAGCCGGCTGGCGTTGATAGAGAAACTTGGAGTATCTCGCATTTTGCTGCAGTTGGTAAGTCCTCTGCCTCTCTATCTTCTCGGTCGCTGATTCTTGCTTACTACCGTGAATTACAGAGGGGAAACTGGTGGTTGAATGGGTGTGGGAGTTTTTGTAATCATCATTAGAGAGGGGAGCTACTACTTCTTTGGTCGCTGTTTTCTTCTAGTGGTTGGGGACGCAAGAGCTAAATTGGAACACTAAATATTTCATTGATTAAAATATACAAAATCAAGCTAAGTAGAACCCCACACTTGGATACACATATGGGAATTTGAGACGCATTCTGTCAAATAATTTCCTTGATTCCTTCACTTGCTCAAAATAAAATATGTTTTCTTTTCGTTTCAATGTGTTGTAGAATCCGACCCCACTTATTTGTGTCCCATCCACTTTTCTGTACATCATATGCTTCTTTATTCATGATGTGTTTGAAGTTTTAATTAAACTTCTGCTACTAGCTAGACTAGAATAATTAGTTGTGAAACCTAAATTAATTATAGGATATTAGCCTATATATTAGGCAATAGGAGGTTTGTCCTTTTCTACTCATGATTTTCCAATTGTTTATCAATTTTTTTTCTATAACAGGTTTATCTATACTAGATTCTACAATGGATGATGTTAATGCTTCAACGACAACAGTGACAAATGAAGAGAATACCAATGTTTTTAAGAGAAAATCTAGTGATGTAGGTTGGGAATATGGGAGATTGGTGGATCCTAACAACAAGGATAAGGTGCGGTGCAATTTTTGTGGCCATGAAAGTACTGGAGGAATATTTCGTTTCAAGCAACACATTGCTCAAAATGCAAGTACTGTGCTTAAATGCGCCAAGGCCACACAAGAAGCTAAAGAATCATGCTTGAAAGCTATGGAGAAAAATGCAAAAAAGAAGGAAGATAAGGCTGCCCGTGAACGACAATTAAGAGATGATATGATTGTTTCCTTTGGACAACAAGATGAAGAAATGACTTGTGTGGGTAGCTCAGAACCTCATAAGTTAGGGCCTATGGATAAGTGGGCACTGGGCACATCCTATTGATCCTAAGTTGTCTTCATCTGCAGCACTTCATCAACAAAAATTAATCAAAGCACTTTGGGAGGAGAGAACACTTCAAGTGCAACAATATGTTGCAAGATGGGTGTATACACATGGTAAGCAATATGCTTTAATTTCTATTTAGTGTATCTTTCTTTTTATGATCGTGGGAATAAATTGTGTGTTTATTTTTGCACCTGTACCATTCAATGCAATAGATAATGACGAGGTCAAGCAAATGTGTGAGGCTATTGGTAAGTTTGGCCCTCGATTTATACCTCCTACTCAGTATGATCTTATAGAGCCTATGCCGAAATCAGAATATGCAAGAACAAAAAGTTTGCTCAAGGATCGTGATGATGAGAAGATGAGGAATGGTTGCTCTATTATGACTGATGCATGGACAGATATGAAGAGAAGAAGCATAATGAACCTAGTCACACATTGTGCTGAGGGAACAAGCTTCATTAAGTCAAAGGACACATCAGATGTGTCACACACAAGTGAGGTCATCTTCAACCTAGTGGACAAAACAATCGAGGAGTTAGGTGCTGAACATGTGGTGCAGGTTGTGACCGACAATGCCTCCAATAATATGGGAGCAAAGAAACTCTTGTTGGAGAAAAGGCCAAATATTTTTTGGAGCTCTTGTGCAACTCACACAATCAAATTGATGCTTCAAGGAATTGGCAACTTGCCAAAGTTCAAGAAGGTAATTGATCAAGCTAAGAGTTTTACTATCTTCATTTATGGGCATCATCGTACATTGGAATGTATGAGGTTCTTCACCAAGAAGAGAGAAATCATAAGGCCGGGAGTAACCCGTTTTGCTTCTCAATATCTTACATGGCAAAGCTTAATGGATAAGAAGGATGCACTGAGGAAGATGGTAGTGGATACAAAGTGGAAGAGCTTGAAAGATGTGCACACAAAGGAGGGCAAAGATGCAACATCAACCGTGCTAAATAACACTTTTTGGAAAGGTGTTCACCTTTGCTTGAAGGTTTTTGAGCCATTGGTAAGAGTTCTTCGTTTGGTTGATGGAGATGTCAAACCATCCATGGGGTTTGTATATGGAGAAATTATGAAGGCAAAGAGGGAGATCAAAGAGGCATTTAGCAATTTGGAAATTCGCTACAAAGAAGTCATGACCATTGTTGACAAGAAGATGAAAGGAAGACTTGATGCTCCATTGCATTGCACTGCATATATGTTGAATCCACATTATAGCTATGCTGATGAGTCTATCTTTGATGATGGAAACATTACTACATCATTCATGGATTGTGTTGAGACATTTTATAGTGGCGATTCAAGCAAGATCAGGTTGTGAACTATGAATTTCAGAAATTTCAAAAGAAAGAAGGCGCATTCGGGAAGAAGCTTGCACGAACTTTTCAGAACTTTGATTACAATCCCGGTTAGTACACTATTACTTCATACCTTTAATTTATTTTTCTAGTTATTCATAACTCTAATTTAGTACCAATTTTTTGCCTAGTCGCTTGGTGGAGAATGTACGGAGTTGATACACTAAACTTACAAAAGATGGATATGAGGATCCTTTCATTGACCTCAAGTTCTTCTGGCTGTGAGAGAAACTGGAGTACCTTTGAGTCGGTAAGTATTTAATTCTCTATCTATTATAGTCCATAGAGCATATTCATATTCTAAATTCCTCATGCATTGCAATGTTTTACTTGTAGATACATACCAAGAGAAGGAATAGACTTTCAACAGATCGTCTCAATCAATTAGTGTACATACAGTTCAACTCGAGGTTGATGGCCAAGAAGAAGAGGATAAAAGAGAAGAAGAACATTAATATTCTCCTAAGTACTGATGCAACTGAAGCACAAGGTTTCCTGTATGAGGGAGGAGATGATCATGCTATGTATGTGTTCATGGATGAGGATGAGGGAACGGATGGTCCACCCTTGAGTGGAGTTACAGATGCAATGGCTAGTGAACAACTTGAGCTTCGCAGGAGTGCAAGAGTGAGAGAGCTCCATGATGAAGAATTTGAGTCCGAAGAGGAGGAGGAAGAAGAAGAGGTGAGGAGATTGCCTTTGAAGATGATGAAGATGAAGTGGTGGTTGGACGGATCTATTTGGATGATGGGGAATGATCTTGTTTTTATATGCTTACTGTTTAGTGTTTCTACTTTCTATGAACTTTTTGGACAAATGGGCACTACTTGCTTGTTGTTACTCTAGAATACTAAAATTTATGAGATTTTTTTTTCAAATTTTCTTCGAACGCCTAGGCGACGCTTAATCAAGCTAGGCGCTAGTCAGGAGACCAACGCATGCCTTACGCCTAGCGCTTTCTTGAACCTTGATTTGAATCAATGACATTTCGGTTGCTAACTATGATGGAAAAGTCCTATTATTTTTCATATTTAAGCTTCATGTATGTTTTTAATTGAAGAAGATCACACAAATGTGTTTATTGTAATTGGTTATGTTTCATATCTTTGTTCGAAGAGACCACAATTCAAATCTCATTACAGATGTATTTTTCTGTAAATAAGAAAATAATAAATGATTGCGAAGACAATTCTACCCTTCCTACTTTCACTTTGAATGCAGGAAATTTGAAATCGAGCTTCAAGTTTTCTCATTACCAAAAAAATATTTAGGGGAGAGTTAATGGCTTAGCTAACTGTGATGGAAAATTCCTATGATTTTTCAGATTTAAGCTTCCTGTATGTTTTTAATTTAAAAAGTTTAAACAAATTTGTTTAGTGTAATTGGTTATGTTTCTTTCCTTTTCTCAAAGAGATCACAATTCATATACCACCACTTATGTGTTTTTCCTGTAAATGAAACATCCCACCTCTGTGAATTTTGGAAAAGACATTTCTACCCCGGGCTATAGTTAAAAATCTCAAATAACACAAGTTTAAATAATATACCAAACTCAAATATCTCAATATCTCAAATCGAAGCCCTAAACACGTGGGCAAAACTCAAATTGTCCAAAGGAAATGAATCTCCAATCCTTAACTCTTAACCATAAAGTCTTAATAACTGGAAAAAGTTCTCTGATGCTTACTCTGAAGCCTGGCTAGACATCTCTCAGCGACGATGGTGTTGAGTCCCTCTAGCTTGCTGCTCACGGACTGGCTGGTTAGGATTTCCTCCTCTACGATCTGGTGAGTGAGTTGGGGTCAGTCTACGCCCTTACGATAAAATCTATAGTACTTTAGTATTCTTCTCTAAACACTTAACTTCTACTAGTGGAAGTTGTGTTGTACTTCCACTCTTAACACTTATAACTCAAAAATTCTTCGGGAGTTAAAGCTCCCTTCTTAAAGCTCAAAACTTGACTTAAATCTTTTGGCTGACACTGGGATCCCTCACTAGCTAGTCCGGTTGCCAACTCATACGTATGAGAAGCCACCAAGGCTTTCCTTAAACTTAAACTTAGTTAGGGAAGTCGTAACGATTCATCCCCCTAACATCTTAAACTTATCGTGGTGGCTCTTCACCACGATTCTCAAGGGCATAACTACTGCCCATCTTAAAATCTCAAGAGCATAACTGCTGCTTTATCTCAAACTGTCTCAAAAGCAACGGACTGGCGCTAGTGACTAAAAACACTTAAAACGACTTCACCTTATTGAAGGCGAGTTACTTCTTAAAAAGGACTTGCTTCTTAACTTTAACAATCATTTATAAACTTAAGCTTAAATTTAAATAAGAACTCATGCACATTCACATCAAGCATAGCTCAACAAAATCACATATCATCAATCATAAGCACAATCAAACAACGACATTCACTTCATCAAAATTTCTCAAAACTTTAACTCTTGAAAGAAAACGTAAGGCGTAGAATTTACCCCCTTTACACTCACCTTATTAAGCTGACTCCTTGATTCTTTACTCGAAGAAATCCCCCCTAGCCGAATTATCTCGGTGAACCTATTAATAAGAAACTCACCACTTTAGTTGACCTTTCTCGGTTTAGAATTCCCTTTTGGGTCACTAGGACATCCTCTCCTCAACATCCAGCCCTCGAGGCTCGCTCCCAAGGTCTCCTAACCATAGACCAGGAAACCGGATCGTACCGGCCGGTTCAACCGGAAATTGGACCAAAAGCGGTACGGTGGGCTGCTTGTGCTGATTTTACCGTGCCGGCCGGTTTTTTCGGTTTGACCGGTTGAAGCGGTTGAACCGGCCGGTACGATCCGGTTTCCTGGTCTATGATTCAGCTTCATTTCTCCGTATTCTCGTCCAATATGTGGAAAATAATTAAAAAGAATATTATTTTGCTATTTTTCTATGTTGAAAATGGGTCACCGTGGTTGTATAATGCTTTATTTGGTTCTTTTTTTGATGGATTATATTTTTTATACTATCGCATTTCATGTCTCTATCAATAGTGAAAAACGGTATTTACCGGTACAAAACGGTTGAACCACGGTCGTACCACAAAATACCATACCAGAAAGGAATCCGGTATGATGTCCGGTACGGTTTCCTTTACCATGCTCCTAACCCACTTTAAAAATTTTCTAAAACCAATCCCTTCAAAACCGACCACTTTTCCTAATTATTTTAGTCTTGGACGAATTTTCCACCTACCTTGAACCTTCTCAAAACTTCTGATAATAATTTTCCTACAACAATCATGAATCCTTATACCCTGGAAAATTATCAAACCCTCATAAACTACTCGTAATTATTTTTATTTAATTAAAAAGAATGTTCAAACAATTTCTAAAATTATAAATACATCTTGAAAAATTCCCAAATTAATTTACTGTCATCTCCTAGACCTGCCTCAATTTATAAAATTTTTAAACGCAAGAACAAACCCTTGCAGGGACTCGAAACAATTTAAACCATCCAAAACCAATTTTCTGAAAATTCCCAGCAGCTTTAGTGACCACCCAAACCCTGTCACTAAAGGCCCGATCGCCTGTTGCTAAAACCACAGAATTGCACCCTCAAGTAAAACCCCAAATCGTTCGATCTAACTCAAAGGGATCGAGT